GACTTTGATGTGCTCAGTTGGGCCTCCTACTTCTCCTATTCTGGTTGGAGACAGTTTATTCTGAATAGTTCACCATTTGCTGGCAGTCTCTCCAAAGGAATAGTCATCGTTTTTAAGAAGAGGAATAAACTAGTGAGTTCTGCTAGAAAGTTATTTTTTAACCATCTACAAATGATAATATTCCACATACTCAGCTAGTAATAATAAATGTGCTAACAAGATGTTAAAGGGTCAATTAGCCTGTTAACAGGATAAACATGGACTGGGTTACAAATTGCGCAATTAGTTTTAATAAAAGGCTGCTGTGCATCACTAATTCTAATAAAAACTACCTGTTTCCAGCTTTACCAGTCTTTTACCACTTTAAAAACATTAACTATTGAAATTCAGGGATCGAGAATGGAACATAAGGGGGAAAAAATACCAATCAGCTTTAGCACCTTTATTCCTATAATCCATCCGACCTTTATTATACTTGGCGTGACTTTGTTTACATTGCTCTAACCAGAAAGCCAGAGCTCTGGTATCTTGTCTGCCCAGTTATGCTGCCAGTTGTGCATCAGCTGCAACAGTAAGACAAACAGCCGGATCAAGTGTTCACCAGTCAACGAGATGTCAGTGAGCGCTAAGAGTGCAGGAGAGAGTATAGGGGGGTAGTCGCTGCCTCGTGACAGCATCTGCAGCGTGACTTTGTTTACACCCAGAGGGCTGTAGCTCGGCGTGTTCTGGAGCGCTGATGTCATGCAGACACATTTGGCTGCAGATTTGTGCAGCGGTGTTGTGTTCAGGGGGTCTGGAAGGAAATGCTCTGTCATGTTGTGTGCCAGTAAGCCACTACAACCTCGTATGAAAGTGGCAAAGACCTGGACCGGGAGCTGAAACACAGAGGTGATGAATTCACGTGGATGAATAAACCTTGAGAAATCATGCTGCTTTCATTCTTGTTATGCTGCAGGAAGTTTAGCTTGTGGTTTTCTTTCTGAAAGACTTATAAGTTGACTCTTTAGGCTTGCTTCTGCTTTCAGGGAGGTTCTTCTGTGGAGTGTATTTCATCTGTTGAGTGAACTTTTACCAGGAAAAGTTAGCATTTTCTTTTTTTTTTTAATCCGTGTAATGATCAGTTCTTTAGTATCTCTAAACTGACTTTGGAGTTGAGAATTCAAAACTTTTAAGATTTTACTCCAACAATAGCGTAGCGTAGATTATTGTCTCGAGGAAAAAAATATTTATAGCTGCAGAACATTAGAGATGTCGGCCTATTTTAGGTTAGACTTAGACAGATTTTATTTGTCATTTTGTTAACACGTGTAAATCAAAAAGAAATTTCATTTCGAACAGCTCTCTGGACATTTTCATCTTTTTAAAGGTGCAGCCTTGAAAAATAGTAAAAATATATATATATATATATCTATATATATATATAGATATATATATAGATAGATAGATAGATAGATAGATAGATAGATAGATAGATA